CCCCAAAACCCCAAAACCCCAAAACCCCAAAACCCCGGGGTAAGATTTCAAAACTGAGATATTAATAAATAATTATCTGCGGTAATCCAATTTCCTAGTCATCTGAACTCTTCTTGGGTAAGAACTGTCATAAGGGCGACTTTGAGTGTCTCGAGGAGGTGCAAAAGGAGCATTGCTTCTGCTCATGTTAGAGGACCGGTTGTTGATGTATGGAGACGGACTAGGGTTGTGATGGTTAAGATGCTGAGATGCTCTAATATGAGAGGAGGGCTCTTTGGGAGCGACATCTTGTTGCCTATTGTTGGCTTTCCATTTTTGTATGCAAATTACTATTGACTTTATTAAGAAAATTAGTCATATAAAGCTTCCAATAGCTGGAGATGCCATGAGCACAGATGTATAAAATTTTTCATAGAAGGGAGTCCAGGCTTCCTTTTTGTCTAGCCACGATAACGGGACTGCCAAACTACAGAACAGAGTTTGGTTTATGATTTCAATGATATTATCTTGAGGATTCTCCAATGGTCTGACAATAATTAAATAAAGACAGTAAGCAATATTGACCAAGTAGAAGTAAGTAGCTCTATCATATTGACGAGTAGGTTGTCCAAAAATGATAACTGATGTAAGTAATACCCTCATCAACATATACATGCAAGAGTAGAGTTTAGAATATTTTGTTGACTTGACTCCGTTAAAATACTCAATTCATGGCCAATACTTGACTTTATTTAGCGTAGGAAATGATTTGAAATACATGATGAATGACAGAATAAACAACACACTTGTGCACAATCAGAACAGGACTCAGACCCCAAACGATACTATTGTGACTATTGTATCAAGATTGAGATTGTACAGCTCTGAGAATATTGATAAAGTTGTAAATACAAATGCTTGCATGAATATTCTTATGTAGACATTGAATGTGAAGAACTTGAACAGCTTCCTTGTAAACTTCTTTCATTTCCTGTTCTTCGAGTTCTTTGTTCACCTGTATCATAAAAATACACCAACATTAATGATCCCTATCAGTATGATAATAGCCATGAGGGACAAATAGTTAACAACTGAACTGCCAGACCTCATTCCAAGGCTGTTCAAGTATCCATCAGATTGAGGATATGACACCCAGTCAGTAAGTTCTTCAACAAAAGGAATATCCTTGAACTTGATGAAATCGAATGAGAGCATTGTGAAGCCCATCTCACTCAAAAAGGCTAACACTTTGGGCGAGAAGTAATCAGGAATCAGAGGTAGTAATATTGCCAGTTGTAGGCTGTTCATAATGCTAAAGATTGAGTTGATTGATGATAATGATAGCATAGATGAAGCACTAGCAAGTATGATGCTCGATATAACCAAGCCTTGAGTAACTGTAGTTTCAGTTACAGGTTTAGATTCTTTAGTCTCAACTTCTTTAGTCTCACTTATGCTAACTACTTTAGTACAAGATTCCTTCTTATCAGAGCTTTGATAGCCATCTGATCAGGTCTCTCAAATGCTGGGACTTCCCAGTGTTCATAGCTCGCAGTTCTGAATGGATCACTCTTCTACAGTGATCTCAAACTTCTTGTAGTGGACTTCACTGTTGAAGGAGATCTGAAGTAAAAAATAAAAATTCTTCTCTTCGGCTAGCTTAGGAGTGGCGTTAAGGTACAACTCTTGACTGCTTGCATCTAATTGAACCCAGTCAGGAACAGCATTGGAACCGGTCTGGGCCAGACTGAAGGTGATGGCAGTGTTATTCACTGACTGAGCTCAGGCCCAGGTGAATTCTAATTTCACTAACTTGTTGCTCTGGACAATCTGGGAGTAATCCTGATTCCACAAAGCCACGTATCTGTTGAACGAAGGATTTGTCGACGACGTGATGTCGGTGGTCGTGATGGACGATGTGGTTGAAATCGTAAGAGTCTTCGTGTTCGTAGATATGCTTGGATTTGATGTTGTTGGTGACACCTGATAGTTAGTGGTAATTGGGCTGAATAGAGGAGTATCTTGTTCAAACTCAGAAAGCTGTCCAGTGTTGTTTATGGGTGATCTCCCAAAGAAGAATGTATCATTGGTGCTGATTCTTCCAGAATGATACATCATCTCTTCACCCTTATATAACAACTTTCCTACTGCATAAGCCGATGAGTCCACCGAATTGTACTCCTTCGTAATTTCTGTGGCAGAGGGGGTCACCAGAATTAGCCTTTTGATTCTTAATAAAGAGGAACTGCGAATCTGAATGGCAACGAAGTCACTGAACTCTTTTATTCAGTAACTATTATAATACCCACTGTCATTCCAAATCAGTCCTGAACTTTGGGGACTCCCATCGGCAATGCTAAGCTTGTGGAAAATAAAGTTGGCATCGTATAGAACCATTGTGTAAATCCACTCTTCATCTCTGCTCAGCAGGGAGTTGCTGAATTTACTCACTCAGCCTGAAGTAGGACAGGCAATGCTCTTCTTCCAAAGTGAGCTGGAGGAGGAGAAATTGTAGTTCATCAGGTAGTATTGGTCAGCTGCTGTGTCAGTTGATCCAAAGAATAGTAATTCTTCACTGACTGGAGCGAAATTAATTTGACTACCGACTCCTAAAGTGAATCAGTCGAGATTGGTATTTGACATGTCCCATCTGCAAGTGTGCAAGATTGAGCCAAAGGCGAGACTGAAGAAGAAGCCTTTGCCTATTTCCATATTTGAATCTAAAGTAGCTGAGGCAGCGCTAACTGCCAACTCTCTGGAGATGACCAGGTCTGAAGTCCTGACCTCAAATATCTTGTGAGTTGTCCAGTCTTGGATGTAGATGAAGTCCTTGGCTGGAGAAATAGCGTAGGAACGGTAGTTGCAGAAGATATCATAAGTCATCACTTGAACTTTGGCCAGATCAGGATCTGACTTGTAGATGATAGTGTCCTGTGGAGCAGGATTACCAAAATATCCAATAAAATAGAGTAATTCATTGTCTTGGTCTTCTAAAATATCCAAAAAATATAAAAGAGTAACTCCAGCGATTCCAAAACTTCCAGAGAGTGGAGATCCAGCCGCCTGGGTATCGTTCTGACACACATTGGCTGCTACAGCCATGATGTATAAGAGAAGGATATGCAGGTGTTTCATTTTAGTAATCTTAATAATAAAATTTACAGTTCTTTATTTAGAGTGCCTCTCGGGGTTTTGGGGTTTTGGGGTTTTGGGG